GCTCTCCCAGTGGGCAGTGGAGACTCAGATGATATTTCTAGGCAGGGGACTTTAGGGCCCTTAGTGTGGGTGGCAATGCCAAGGGGAGTCTTGGGAGATGCTAAGGCAGGATGATATCCTGGGAAATTTCAGGTGAGAAAGAACCAGGGCACTGGGGATTAAATGAAAGGGGTAATTCGGGAGACATTTAAGGGAGGGAATAAGCGGGGCTTGTTGACCACTCTGATGAAAGACAGGAAACTAGGTTTCGAGGTTGGGCAATTGAGTGAATAGAGATGCCAGCTGAGACAGTGATCCTGCAACTCCCTGCCCAAGACCCCCACAAGGCTTCATATGGACCTAGAATAGGAGCCAGATTCCTCACTGGGGCCTCCCCATTCCATCCTAGTGTGGCCCCTGCTTTCAGGCACATATCCTGCCAATGTCCTGACTCATTATCTTCAACCAAGGGCTCTCCAGTCTGTTTCTCCACTACCCAGGTTTCTGGCTGCCTTCCAGATATTGCACTTGTAGATTTCTCTGTTGCAAATACTCTGCCCAGTCTTCACATGACTGACTCCTTGTCATGATTCAGGTCTGTTCAAGTAATTTCTTTAAAGATGTTTTTCCTTCTCTGGCTCCCCCACCCCATCCAATGTGGCCCAATGTTCTCTACTCTTTCACTTTGTTCTCTGCATAATGCTTATCACTATCTGAAAGGATTGTTTGTACTTATCATACACACATTTATTTCCTATGTTCCTCTCTAGAAGTTAAGCTCCATGAGAAGGGCCAGCATGTTGTGAAACTCCAAGGACACTAATCACAAAGAACACAATGCAGTTGCTGCCTCCTGCATTGTATAACCTGGTAATCGTGTCTCTAAGAGCAGGGACTGCCTCTGTACTGTTCACTTCCATGGCCCTCTGCCTAGAATGGTACGTGGCACACAGAAAGACACTAAGGAAATATTTACTGTATCAATAGGGAAGACAGGAGTAACACAGCTTTTGAGTATTGCAGGAGCAACAACAAAAAAATACAATTGAGTTTTGTTTTAGACATGTTGAGTTTGAATTATCCAAACAACCTCCAGGTTGATATGTATAGAAGGAGACTGAAGATATGAGCCCAAGAAAAGACATATTAACCTATACATGAAGGCCTGAACCTTCAGAAACATTCTCAGAGACCTAGAATCTATTATTTCAACTAAGAATGTAATTTTTACAGATGGGCATTTATTTGTCACTTATCTTAAGTGATTTTCTTGCCTTGTTCATCAGATATTCAATTACAGACTTCGCTTGACACTTCTCAGTTTGGGAAGTGATAAGACACATCCAAGTGTGTTTGTAGATTATAAGAGATAGTTAAGGTGCTTTATCCCAGGGTATAGAGATAGCAGTTACCCTGCTCTCTCACCCTCATTCTTTTGGTGACATTGCCAAAGGGAATCATATTTGGTGTAGACATTGGTCAGAAGAAAACCTTGTGCTTTTATAGGCTGCAAATTCATAATGCCACCACCTTTACATCTTCTGTCTTGTGCACACACAGACCCTATTAATCAATCTCAGGTATTTTTTAAATTAGCTCATAGGAGCCTACAATTCCTTAACACATCACTTCAGGCAGATACCACTAATCTGTCAGAGTTGGCACTGGGATTGAAACCTACTAGTTATACTTGTCACATAATAAGACTCTTTTCTACTTTCTACTTAGCAAAGCACGGAAATATTAACAACAGTAATGAAACTTCCTCTGTGGTGGGTCTTACACCACTCGGCATGTCTATCAGCTGAGAAGCCTCTTTCCTCTCACACATAGTCCTGCCTGAAAGTGAGAGAACAAACTTGACTAGATCCTTTCCAATCCTGGGATTCACTGATACTAAACTGGAAGGATAGAAAGAAGCAAGGACAGCAAACACAGAAATCAAGCAGGAGTAAAGACTGGGAAAATTCACTCTCTCATTTCATAAATACTTACTGAGAATTTACTATGGCCAGACACTTCCAGGCACTGGGAATACAGCCGTGGAACAGGCCCAACAGTATAGTCATAAAACTTGATTTTTAGTTTGAGGGAAAATGTGCATATATGCACATGTATATTATGTGTATGTGTATATATATATGCACATACATGTATGTATATATGTGTGTCTGCGTATATACACATGTAACAAGGCCATGATGTCAAGCAGTGATCGTTGACATAAAACTAGAAATGAGATAGAGTAACATGGGGGATGACAATATTAAATCGAGTGGTCGGGGGCCGGGCATGGTGGCTCACACCTGTAATCTCAGCACTTCAGGAGGCCGAGGCAGGAGGATTGCTTGAGCTCAGGAGTTTGAGACTAGCCTGGGCAACATAGTGAGATCCCATCTCTACAAAAATAAACTTGAGTCAATAAATCAATAAATCAGATGGTCAGAGAAGGCCTTTCAGAGATGCACTGAGTGAGATCTAAATGACAGAAAGAAATGAGCAATGCAGGGTCCCAGTTCAGTGCATCCCGGCAGGTGGAACAGCAAGCTCAAGGGTCTTGAGGAAGGACGGAGCTGCTGGGTCTGAAAACCTGGGGAGAAGCCAGTGTGACCACCAGGTTAGGCAGAGGAAAGTCAGTGATGTGGCAGGGCTAGATAACTTGGAACTTCATAGACCACAGTAAGGAGTTGGGATGTGATTCCAGTTGTGATACAAAACCCTCAGAGATTTTAAGCAATGCAGAAATAGGATTTTGTTTTTGATTTTAAAGATCTTCATGGCTGCTTTATGGAATGCTGATCACAAAAGAGGGAGAATGGAAGGGGAATGTCCAGGTAGGAGAGGAAAAGAACATTTGACATAGGAAAATGTTCCGGGTCTTTCAGACTGCTCTAACTACTATCCATACCAGGGGAGGTGGCTGTGGTCCTGCTGCCTGCCTGTGTGTTCTCACCCGGCCTCCATAGGTGTCTGGATGTTCTTACCTGACCTCTCTCCACAGGTGCCTATGTATTCTCACCTAGCCTATACAAGTGACTTTATGTTCTCACCTGACCTTCACAGGTGTCCGTGTGTTCTCACCTGGCCTGCCTCCACAGGTGCCTGTGTGTTCTCACATGGCCTCCACAGGTGCCTGTGTGTTCTCACCTGGCCTGCCTAAACAGGTGTCTGTGTATTCTCACCTGGCCTGCCTCCACAGGTGCCTGTGTGTTCTGCTCTGTGTTTTTGGTTTTCAGGTCTGCTGTATTTAACTCTTTGTTGTCAATCTAGCTTGTGACTTACTGTGATTTCTGGGAGTCTGGCTCCCAGTTTATATTTTATCTTGATTTTAGCCAGTTTTCTCTTGTAGTTAATGTAACATTAATGTCCTTATTTGCTGTGATAAATTGGGTTATTTGCTTATACCAGTAGAAAAAGCCTTCAGGTCTCAAATGGAATCACCCCATTCCCTCAATTATTTGTCCCCGGAGAATTCAGTGATATGGTTTGGCTCTGTGTCCCCACCCAAATCTCATCTTGAATTGTAACCCCCACGTGCTGAGGGAGGGAAAGGATTGGATTATGGGGGCAGTCTCCTCCAGGCTCTTCTCATGATAGTGAGTGAATTCTCACCAGATCTGATAGTTTTATAAATGGTAGTTTTTCTGGCACTCACATGATCTTCTCTCTCCTGCCACCATGTGAAGAAGGTCCTTGCTGGCCCTTTGCCTTCCACCATGATTGTAAGTTTCCTGAGATCTCCCTAACCATGTGGAACTGTGAGTCAATTAAACCTGTTTTCTTTATAAATTACCTAGTCATGGGTATTTCTTTGTAGCAGTGTGAAAATGGACTAATACATTCAACAAGTCTTGTTCAGCTTAAACAGGGTGTTTTTAGCTATGAATGGGTGATAACAGTGGCTACTCTTTGTCTGGCACTGTACAAGCTGCCATAAATATCTGTGCACATTATTTTTGAAAGTATTATATCATTGGGCATTGGGTCCCCAGGTAGATAGAAAGGTTGTTAATATTATACATTTGATGGATGAAGAAACAGATTTAGAGAGGTTAGACAGATTTTTTTAGAAAGACTTTGTACATGATTAATTATTGCTCTTAATTTTAAGCTATTCTTAAATCTCCAAATTTTTACAAATAATAATTTTTAAAATATTCATAATTTGTTATCTCCTGAATCCCTCCGTGGGGTGTGTTTATATGGAGACCGATATTCTCCTGAGATGCCTAAACATTCTGCGTAAATTTCCAAACACACTATTTAGTGCACCCCCATATGCGCCATTCACTGTGCTGAGAGCTTCAGGAACCATATAGATGAATGAGCCACAGCCTCTGCCTTTAAAGAACAACCAACTGGTGGATGGGAATTGGGATGGTTCTCCAATGGTTAAGACTGTCTGTTAACAGAAGCCCAATTCCAAGTGGTTTAGGGAAAATGGCAAAGTATTGGCTTATGTAACTGGAAGTCCTTGGGTGCCTCTGAATGAGTGTGGCTGGACCCAAGGGGCTTAAATGATGTCAACAGGACTCCTTTTTGCTCCTCCTCTTTCTCTGACTCTAGCATCTTCTGTTCTATGGGCTATCATCATTTTCAGCTAGATTCTGTCCTTATAGTGGGAAACATACTCCTCACCACTGTCTAGCATATGTCACAGCTAGGAACCGGCTGGAAACACAGGTCACACTTTCCTTTCTTCCAAAAACAGTATTTCAGGGAAGTACAAAGAATGATGGTACACTCATCCAACTCTAGTCACATGCTTATCCCTGAACAAAACACTTTATCCAGACACATAATAGACACTCAGTGATTGCAATGCCCTGTTGGAGTTAAGGAGACAGTAACAATGTTTAAATAATATTAATATGTCCAGCATTGTATTTTACAAGCATCATGATAGCGAGTGCTCATAGCATTTTATGAGGTCGTATATCGGTTGCTTTAGGCTAAGTTCTGCTTCTATAATAAACATTCCCAAATGTCAGTGGCTTATAACAACAGAAATTTATTTTTTGCTCATGTTAATGATCGTAACAGGTCAGCCTCAACTGTGTTCCACGTTGTCGTCTCTGGGCAGCCACACTGAAGGAGCAGTCCCTGTCTGAGGACTGAGTGTCTCCTAAGAGAGGGGAAAGATAAGATGACAGAAACAGGTGAAACTTTTAAAACTTCTTCTCGGAAGTGGCACATCTCACCTCCACCAACGTTCCATTGGCAAAAGCAAAAAAGATAGTCAAGTATGAAATCTAATATCATCCTGTCAAGAAGGAGAACAAAAGTGTTGAAGAATAACATGATCTCCCAAAGGCAGGAAATATGATTATCCCATGTGTTCATTTTCTAGGCCTACCATAACAAATTACTGCAAACCAGCTGGCTCAGAGCAATGGCAGTTTATTCTTTCATTCTTCGGGAGTCAGAAATCAAGGTGTGGGGCCCTACTCTCTCTGAAACTTTTTCTTTTGCCTTGTTCTAGCCTTCAGTGTTTGCCGGCGGGCCTTGGCATTGCTGGGCTTGAGGGTGCGTCATTCTAGTGTCTGCCTTTGTCATCGCCTGGCCTCCTTCCCTCTGCCTGTGCATTTTCTGGAATTCTTCTCTGTGTATGTCTATGTACAAAACTACCTCTTTTTATAATCACGTCATCACTGGCTTAAGATCTACCCTAATGCAGCATGACCTTATCTTAACTTGATTTCATCCACAAAGACCCTACTTCCAAATCAGGTCACATTCACAGGGAGCTGGTACCAGGACTTGAGCACATCTTTTGGAGGGATACAATTTAACCTGGGACCTCCCATTTTTAAAATGAGGAAACTGAACCACAAAGCAGCTAAATACCTTGCCTGTGAACACACAAATAGTGTGTGGTGATGTTAGAATCACACCTAAGTGGCTTGGCTCAGAGCCTGTGCTCCTAACTATTCAACTATGCTAGATAACAAATTCAGGCAGGCTGCTGTGGCTCATCCCTGGAATCTCAGCCCTTGCAGATGCCAAGGCAGGTGGATCCTTGAGACCAGGAGTTCAAGACCAGCCTGGGCAACATCGTGAGATCCTGTCTTCACACACACACACACACACACACGCACACACACACACACTAGCCAGGCATGGTGGTACATTTCTGTAGTCTCAGTTACTCAGGAGAGTGAGGTGAGGGCCACTGACATTTGGAAATGTTTGTTACAGAAGTATAACTTAGCCCAAAGCAACCAATATACTACCTCATAATATGAGGTGGGACGATCACTTGAGCTCGGGAGTTTGAGGCTGCAGTGAGCTATGATCATGCCAGTGCACCCTGGCCTGGGTGACAGAGCAAGACTCTATGTCCAAAAAAAAGAAAATTCAGAATCTTGGTTTCTTCCTGGAATCTTGTTTCCACTCTGCCTCCCACTGATTATAACCATGAGGAGGACCTGCGTTTTGCTGTTTCTCAAATGGGCTTGAATTACCGACCTTGATCTTGTCTTTCAGGATTGCTCAAAGTGTAAAGCAACGTGACAGGTGAGAAAGCCCTTTGAAAAACTACTGAGCTCTTCACAAGTACAAGGTGAGTCATGGTTTGAGAATGAGCTACACTCCTGAGATGTTTCCTGCAGTTTCCTGCAGTTATTACCACAAAGCTATTGCTTCTGAAGAGCAACAAATGGCAGTATTTGGTAAAGCAATCAAATTGGTCTCCAGCTTTCCTACACCGAGTGTCTCAGTAATAAGCATGAAACTGTAACATGCAGCAAAAGAGGCCATTATATACAAATATGTGTATTTTTAAAGTTTAAAAAAAGTGGGTAAAACCAGAGGGTTGAATGATGATGTGCGGGCAGGATGTGCTGGATGAAGTGGGGTTAGGTATCCCTAGATATTTCAGTTACTGGAGTAACAAACTCTTTCTGAGGGCTCTTGGTATCCAGCTTATCTGTTGGTCAAATAATCTATTGATGACTCTCCTCACTCTTAGATTACCCTTGCCCTTATACTTTCCCTATACTCCCCTAAAGGGATCATTTTGCAATCATCTGACCTATGAGGTCTTTTGTCCTTCTACATTTACTCCCTTAGTGATGCTACTCACTGCTCTGGCTTCCATGGTCACCTGAACATGAAACCCGAAAGCCATTGGAGGTAAGTGGTGTCTAACTCAACAACAGCAGTGGGCAGCATTCCACTGGCTGGAGTCTATTGATTTCTCCCGGTTTCTCCTCCTCATCGCTAGCCCTTGTCTCTTGAATCTAAGTGTGGATCATGAAGTATGATGAGAATGTCAGTCTGACATTGAAGTATACAACTCTGTGTGTCTTCCTCCTCCATCCTCTCTCCCTAGACAGGATTTAGCAGACTTTTTTCTCCATGCCTCAGCTTCTTCTTCTATTATTGCTTCTTGAAAAATATAAAAGTTGTGGTTGAAAAATTAAAATAAGGCTAGATGTGGTGGTTCACACCTGTAGTCCTTGCATTTTTGGAGGCTGAAGTAGGAGGATCAGTCAAGGCTAGGAGTTCGAGACCAACCTGGGCCACACAGTGAGACCCCTTCTGTACAAACAAAAGTGAAAAATTAGCCACATGTGGTGGTGCATGCCTGCAGTCTCAGCTACTCAGGAAATTGAGCTGGGAGAATCACTTGAGTGCAGGAGTTTGAGGCTGCAGTGAGCTATGATCACACAACTTTACTCCAGCCCGGAAAATAGAGAAAGACCCTGTCAAAAAAAGAATAAACAACGACAACAACAACAACAACCACAACAAGCAAAAAGTTAAAATCACCCCCCACCCTGTGATCCAGATATAGCTCATGTTAAGGGTTTATGTATATCCTTCTAGATCTTCCTCTGTGGAGATGCACACACACGTTTCTGGACATTAAATCACATCTCCAGCCTCTTTTTTTTTTTTTTTTTTTTTTTTTTGAGATAGGGTCTCACTCTGTTGCCCAGGCTGGAGTGCAGTGGTGCAGTTACAACTCCCTAGAGCCTTGGCCTCCCACCTCAGCCTCCCAAGTACTGGGACTGCAGGTGCACACTTCGTGCCCAGTTAATTTTTGTAGAGATGAAGTTTCGCCCTATTGCCCAGGCTGGTCTCAAACTCCTGAGCCTAAGCCATCCACCCACCTCGGCATCCCAAAGTTCTGGGATTACAGGCGTGAGACACCACGCCCAGCCCCCAGCCTCTTTTCTCCATGTTTTCTTTCTTTCTTATTTTTGCTTTCCACTGTTCTTATTCTCCCCTCAACCCTTATAGCTTAGGCCTCCTGAATCAATCCATGAAGAAAACACACATACCTAACACCAGGGATGCCGCATACAGTGTGTGCTGCACAACTCCAGGGGGCCTTCTAAACTTAGATTCCTTGTGACTGCCTCTTCTTGGTGTTCCTCCAGAATAATACATGGCAGTATCTGTCAGTCTTGCATAGATCCCTTTATAGATTTCAGTTTACAAAACATTTTTTATTTGACCCTCATAGCAATGCTGGATGGTAGACCAAGCAAATAAAATGAGCTGATTTCTCATGAGCTAGTGAGAGAGACTCAGGTAGAACCAACCATAGGAACTCATGGACACCTTGTGCGTCTATCTTTTCCCAGACTCTTTTCCAGTGGGGAAAAGGGTGGAGGGCGCTCAGGCTCAAATTAGCCTTGACAAAAAGCTAAAAAGATGTGACCAAAGGTGACAAGATGAACAAGAAGAGGTTGGTGAAAGATTCATAAAACTTCCCTAACGTGAAGACATTAAGACACTGCACACATGCGGGAGAGGTGGTGTTTGTAAAAGGTGAGAGTAAAGACCAGTAAATGAATGGAGACATTTGGAGGGGATGGTCAAGGCCAAACTTCTTTGCCTAGATAAGGAGGACATCTCACCCCTCAGGATGAGGTTGTTGAGAAGAGAGACAGTAGAATGGTATTTCCATTTTTCTAACTCTCAGAATCCAGCTCTCCAAACCAGCCCACAAATAATCTTTCCTAATTCATGCAAATAGAAATCTTGCATTTTTTGTGAACCTTGAAATACATTTCGTTCTTAAGTTCAGGGGATCAGGTTATATTTTGAAATAAAAATTGTAATTGGATTAGGCTCAATTGCAGTTGTAGTAAGACTGGCTATGGGTGTGGAATATGAATGAGGTCAACTTAAAGGAAGTAACTCATTCCTCTAATGACAACATCTTGGTCTATGAAATGAATAAAAGATCAAAGCTCATTCAAAAATAAGTGGATTTAATGGAACAGTAGTTAAAGAAGTCTGGAGAATTCATTTTATTTTCATTGTATAATATCTGTTTCTCATAGAGTTGTCTTGTTCTTTAGTACTTTTTATTCTTATGAATGTGCATGGATTTGATTAACTTAATTAGAGCTAATGTCTTGGGAGCAGAATGTGGGACTGTGAAAGTTTGGGTTCTTGAAGACTTTGAAAAGAGAACTGTTGGCCTCGTTCTACATAAATTCAGAATCGAAAATGTCTGATGATTATTATCATCTTAAAGTAATTGAAGCCCTGCTAAAAATAAAAACCAGAAGGAGAAAAATTGAACCCGAATAAAAGGAATGGAGTTATCCCAGATTTGGATACAATTCTCATGGCAAATTGAGCTTAAATCTGAAGTCTTAGGAAGTAGAATGAATGCCAAAAAATTATTTTTCCCCTTGTGTGCTGTTAACAAGGGCAGTCTCTTCTTTTCGCAGTATTTCCTTCTATTTCCTCCTGTTATCTGTAGCTCTACTTTAGGTTAGGAGGGATTTTAGAGGGAAATACCACTGCAGATTAAAGTCTTAATCAGATTTATTAACTGGCACAGGGTCTGGTGTCCAGGAGTGAGGAAGTCTCCTGAGGAAGCATTTGCTGTGGGGCTCTCTTGGAGAGACTCAGTTTGGAGCCAGACTTTCCAGGAGTCGTCCTGTGTTAGGAGAACAGGAAGTTGCACAAAACTAGGACCCAAGAGAGGATTAAGTATTTTGATCCTAAAAAAGAAAAGGGTTGCCAAGGGTTGAGGTGGGGAGAGAGATGTTCTAAAATGTTTTACTTGGAGCTGGGCAAGGTGGTGGGTGTCTGAAATCTCAGCTACTCGGGAGGCTGAGGCAGGAAAATCACTGGAACCCAGGGCGCGGACATTGAAGTGAGCCAAGATTGCGCCACTGCACTCCAGCCTGGGTGACAAGAGTGAAATTCCATCTCAATCAATCAATCAATGTTTTACTTTGATAACCTGGGCTTTCCGTTCTTTGCATTATATGGAATAGGCTTTAATCAATTGGATATATGAGATAGCACTGTTCAGTCATTCAACCAATATTTATGTTAAATATATATATATACACACACACATCTACAGATACATATATGTAGATGTGTGTGTGTGCATGTGTGTGTGTGTGTATTTGCTTGTATGCTCAGGATGTAGCATGCCTGTATTCAGGGCTGGAGAAAAGTGGTGAATGGAACTTAACACATTGCTGCCTTTTTGGCAGTATTAGGGGCTGTGTGTGTGTGTGTTGAGCATGGTGAGTTTTGGAGAGACAGAGAATGCACAAATAGAAGCCGATTTCTAGTATTGATCAGTGCTAGAAAGGAAATAAACAGGTTAATAACATAGTTGGACTGTTCTCTCTATATTTTTAAGAACATGTTTCGCATTTGAAAAATCAACATGTTTAAGTAACTTTATAGATTTTTTTCTTATCAATAATTATTAATTACCATCAACTATAATATACATTGATAGAATATTTGAGCAACTGGAAATTTTTATTTCACGCCACTTTGAGTCTTTCTTTATAGTATTTATTGCTTTTCATGACATTTCTGAACCAAAGAGGTTTTTATATTTTTCGGTCTCTTTTTAGTGTTAGTTTTTTTTTCTTTCACCTTTTAATTCCTTGAAAATGGAACAAATAGAGTCAATTCATTTGGTTATTCAGTAAACACTAATTCATACCTGCTCTGTGCCGGGCTGGGTGATGGGTACTTTCCCCAGAGTCTGTGTGATGGCCTTTGCTAATCATGATGCAATTCCAGAATGCTATGATTTCATTCAGCCTGGAGATGATAGCAATTTACTCTTTTTTATGGTTAATGTGCTTATCTAAACCCTTTTTCCAGACCAGATTTAAAGTTAGCATTCGGTCCAGCCCAGGCCCAATTCCTGCCAGTTCCTCTTCATGGAGCTTTTAACCATTTGTTTTTTGTTCCAGTCATGGGCACCTGTAGAAAGCTGTGGATGGGGAAAGCCCTTCAGAAACACAGGCGCCCTGACAGCTTCTTGTTGAAAAAATTTACTAACAGACAAAGGATAGAACCTTTTCAACTTCTTGGTAAGAAAGTTAGGGTGGATGGAGACTTTAAATATATGCCTGGAAGGAAATTTTGAAATCTTTTCATGCAAAGAAGAAAATATTTCCAGCAATAAAATCTAAAATATAATTTTAAAAAGCCTAGAAGAAGCCCTTCCCTGCATAGTGTTCCACCATTTACACACCTTATTCTGAGAGGAGAATGTGGCTACCTCATCTCAAAGGGGCTGCTTTAGGTACCAAGACGGGGAGCTGGGGTTCGGAGGTACATGGACACTCTCTCTTCACTCCCCACTAGCTTTACCGAGGCATAACTAACAAATAAAAATTGTATATATTTGAGGTATACAACATTGTGAAATGATTACTACACTCAAGCTAATTAGCATTTTCATCATGTCATAGAGTTAGTGTGTGTGTGTGTGTGTGCGCGCGCCTGTGATGGGACTACGTAGGATTTGCTCTCTTCGCTAATTTTAAGTATACAACGTAACATTATCAACTATGGTCATCACATAGTACATTAGGTCTCCAGACATACTCATCTTATAACTGAAAGTTTGTACTCTTTGACCACTGTGTCTCCATTTTCTTCACCCGCCATCAACCCTCACTCCCCTCTAATCCCTGGTAACCACGCTTCCCTTTTGAAGCCAGGCATTGGTGGAATTTTATTAGGATCTTGAATTGTCTGACTTATCCCAAAGAATATAAGTTCCAGTGAGATTCATACAAGTACTTATTGTCAGTTTTTTACTTTACAATGTTTGTTAGGAGTCTGTTATCTATCTCAATGTAACAAATTACCCCCAAATATTGTGTCTTCATGCAGCAAACATTTATAACTTCACAATGGTGGGGTGGCAGTGCCAAGAATCTGGACACACCTGAGCTTGTTTCTCTGTGTCAGGGTCTCAAAGTGGGACTAGGGGAAAATTTCCACACGCAGGTACCAGTCCTCACTGGCTGTTGTAGGGCTTTGGGATGTGGGCCTGACAACATGGAGCAACCGACAACATGGAGCAACTGACAACATGGCAACATGCTCCTTCTAGAGCAAAAGCTTTGAGAGAGAGGGTGTGACAGAGACAGAGACAGAGAGAGAAAGAGACCCAGAATAGAGGTGATAGCCAGATTCCTTTTGTAACCCAATCTAAGAAACATCTCATCATTTTTGCTGTGTTTGAGTTCTTTCCTTTAGAAATGAGTCACTAGATTCAGGCCTTACTGAAGGGCAGGGGATTATACAATAACAGGACACCAGGCTTATTGGGAGCCCTTTGAGACGCTGCATAGCACAAACTGCCCAGCTCGTAAGAAGTACAATAATGGCCTTGGAGTTGGTAATCATGGTGGTGGGGAGGTATCACTTTTTCAGAAAAGCCTTCCCTAATTACACCCTGTGGTTAGAGTTTGTCTCTTCTAGGATAACTAGCACAGCTCTATGAAACCCAACTTGTGCTGTTCATTTTCCGTTTGTGTGAATCTCCACACTGGACTAGGGTAGGCTTATTTAACCCTGCTTTCTCAATATTTCCACTCTCTTTGGTGTGTAGTCAGTGTTTAATCATAATTTGATGAACTGAATGAAAAGATGAATGAATTATTAAATATGTAGAGAAAAAGGTTATGCTTTTTCGCCTTTATGAGTTTAGGAAAACAACATCCCCTTTTGATAACATTAATACCTCATACATTGTTTCCCTCACCTCCATTAGAATCTTCCTGGTTGGCGGGGAGGATGTCTCATCTCTCCATCAGTCAAGAGGATTTTCACAGTGTTTCTTTGTGTGTCTTCTAGGAAAACAAAATTCTCTCCTGCCTCTAGTATACAATTACAGCAATGAATATTCCTTTAAATATCCACTCCTCTGATTCTGATATGCGACCATCTCCCAGGGATGGTACCTTTCCTCCCCTGATTTCAGAATTACTGCTCCAGTTATCTCTCAACCTTTTTACAACTCAAAATTTCTGCAAGCCAATTCGTTGCCAGCATTTGGTCGTGAGATGAGTGGAGATGAGAGGGATTTAAAAAATATATTGGGTAGCTTTGTTCTTAAGCTGGTATTGGTGCCATTGCGGATCTGGAGAGGTTTTGCGGTCAGATTTTGATTATTTGCTAGTTTTGGCAACTGTTGAGATGTTAGATCTCATATTGTTTCTATCATTTTTTATAGTTCCTTGTTTAACTCTTTGCTGAACGCTTTAGACACACATCAAGACTCTCAAGCTTGATTTAAAACAGAATTGGCAATGGTGCCTCTCTTTTTGCTTCAGGCTCTCCTGGCAGGACCTGACTGCTGGTTGTCGGGCAGTGTTAAATCTCCATGCTGTGCTAGGGGATGGTAGTGCACTGAGTGGTCATTTTGGTCTCAAATACGGAAGAAGACTTCACTGAATTTAAAGAAGGTAGAGCATTTAAAGAAGAAAGACTGGAATTTCCACAAGTGGGACCAATCAATCTGTATCGGCTTCATACATTTATTTGCATTCGACACTTTGATACTTCTCTTTGAAATACCCGACCCTCCATGTTTCTCTTTAAATTATTACATCTCCCAAGATTGTTTACCATTCTGCATCCGACCTTCCTTTGATACTGTCCTCCGGTCAAAGAAATTTCATAACCCTCCCACCCTCCTCGCTCCCCACCACCTTTGAGTTCAGTCTATTCATTTTAAAACCCCATCTTCAGGAACTTTTGAGGAAACCCTCACCTCCCCACACCCTCACTCCAAACAATAGTGCATTGGAGGGCGTTTCAAATACAGTTCATTGAGACTGCAGAAATGGATGAAAACTGCTGTGTGTTTGCCCTTAAAAAGAGAGACTGCTGACCTGGTCGAGTCTTTGACAACAGCTTGTGTTTCCTACCAGCTTTTAACTGTGGACCCACACTGACATTTTTATAGCCATGTCTTACACTATTGGTTTTTCAGTTCATAGCTTAAAATCATATTGATAAGGATATGACCTCCAAGAATTGGAAAATCTATTCCAGGTCCTGAATTCTCTGCATGCCAATGCGCTAAGTCACATGAACAGAGTGTCATGTTAGGTACATTACATAAACCACGCAGATGCTAGATTAAACAGTTACGGATTTTGTAATGTGAAAAGACCTCTGGTGACACAGCTGGGAATGTAGGTAGTAGGTGTCATTTGACTATTATTGCTATATGCCTAAGAGCTATTTGGAGGTAATCGTGGTAGACATTAGCTTACTAGTTGCCACGCCAGCAAACATTCTATCTTTCTTCCCATCACCCCTTGCACAAATTAAGGTAGTACGATTTTCTTAACAGAAAAACCAATAGCTCAGCAGCTTGACATCAGTGATTTCTTACTCTTGTAAAATCCAATTGGTGGTGGAAGTTGAATGGAGGCTCTGCTCCAAGCTTCAGGGACTGAAGCTTGTTCCATCTGTGATCCTATTCTCCTCTAGGGTTTTAGAATCTTCTCCATTTATCCAGTGAATGGGGAAAAAATAGAGTACAAAGAATTCTGTGGGAGATTTTCATGGGTCAGGGCAAGAAGTAGCCAACATTCACTAGCCATAACTCAATCTCATGGTCCAAAGAGCTTAGGAAATCCAGTCTTGCTGTATGTATGTCTGAAATGAAATGTCTGGAACATGTGTCCGGAATGAAAAAGCCCAGTGCTGTCCTTAGACCTGGCACAAAAGGCCTCTGCCCTGCGGCCCCAGCTTGAGAGCGTTCTGTGTGTCACAAACATATGCATAAGAATACACTTATGACAGAACACATGGCTGCTTCTGTCATGTGGATCTGGTCCTTAGCCCTGGCACAGCATGACTTATAACCCAAACATCTGCTTCTGTGGCTAACACAGCTCAGTCCCCAGGGAAGTGCTTCTCCACCTCTCCAGCCATGTTTTCTCAAAACAACATGCAGATGGGTCTGAACACCAGGAAGATTTGTGGGTGTCCCACTGCTGAAGTCGGAGGAGGACAGTGCTGTGGAGAGCAGGAAGGACTCAATGATGGAAGCTTTTACGTAGCATAGAAGACAAATTCCACACATCTTCTTCCCAGATAGGGAGAATGTGGTAGGTTTTAGTGTAATAAAATACTATTCCCAGGAGCAAGGAGAGCCCCTTCCATAATTCTCTTTGTGTTCTCCTGGGTTATATCAGAGGGACTCACAGGCAGCTTCACCCTTATTCTTTCATCTTGTCACTATGAAGGCATTTTTCAAAGTAGAAGTGGAGTTGCCAGATTAAGCAAATAAAAATTTAGGAAGTCGACTGGGCACAATGGCTCACGTCTATAATCCCAGCACTTTGGGAGGCCGAGGTGAGTGGATCAGGAAGTCAGGAGTTCAAGAACAGCCTGGCTAATATGGTGAAACTCTACCTCTAGGAAAATTTAGCTGGGTGTGGTGGTTTGCACCTATAGTCCCAGCTACATGGGAGGCTGAGGCAGAAGAATCCCTTGAACCTGGGAGACGGAGGTTGCAGTGAGCCACGATCACACCACTGTACTTCCAGCCTGGGTGACAGAATGAGACTCCATCTCAAAAAAGAAAAAAAAAAATTGAGAAGTCTTTTTAATCTGGCAACCCAGGGCAGGTAGAGCATATTTTATTAAACTGTTATTAGCTTGATTGGTAACTTTAAAATCGTTATGCATATGGAGGGTGTGCCTCCATTTATACTCTTACCTGGGGGCCCCACAAATTTGGGGATGTGTCTGGGCCCCAGTTTTGTTTGGGAGCTTCACAATTTAGATGCTATCCCTTCTTTTCCTGGCTCTAGGAATGGATCAAGTGACAATGCTAAACAAATCGGCACAGCCAACCTCCTGAGAGATTTCCACATGAATAAGCTGGTCTGATATGAGTGATTCTTTGGACTCTTTCCTGGGAATCAAGGAAGAAGTTATTCTTGGTTTTGCTGCTGGGTTTGAAGAAGGAACACATGGACCAAGGAGGTACCAGCAGCCATTTTAAGCCACAAGAGGAGCCACTTACAAAGACTCTCTGTGACCCAACTTTAGTCAAGCTCCTCTGAGCTCTCTTTTCAACTAGGCCTTGACCTTGGGCCCCTGGCTTGTCTTTGGTCTGCCCAGCTGAGTTTGGGTAAGAATCCTGCTAAATTACTCTTCACGCTTGATATGGCATCACCCTTGATACCAAGTTTCTCAACGCTTGTTTTCTATGTATAAATCTTTGGCCTGTCATTAGCAAGAATCTTGTTAGGCCAGTTTAGCAAGAATCCCAGACCCCTGATATCTCTCCTCTTAGGAATTTCCAGTCCACTGCCACGCTCATCCTGTTCCCTGGCTATGAATTCCCACTTGTACTTGTACTCAAATTTGAGCCTGATCTCTCCCCACTACTGCAATAGTCATGACTAAAGTCTTCTCTACTCCTTTAACTAGTTTTGCAATATTTTTTTTCTTTCCCATCATCCTTAGGATTAAACTGACACCAAAGAAAGTAGAATAGAAAAAAACAGAAACTATATTCTTGGAGCTAAGTTGAGCTGGCAAATCAAACCTCATATGAACCCAGTCTCAAATATAAACTCTTTATTGGTTAAGCAAATTTGAATTATGTGTTATGAGACTTGCCATCAAAAGATTCCTGATGATGGGAATGATTACTTAGGGATATGTACGGAGGATTCAGACACACAGTGCCCTGTAGAATGCAAAGAGGGTTTTAAAAAAGAGAAGCAAGATGCCAAGAGAAGTTTTCATATGGAATCTGTTAGGCTTACAAAATGAGAGAAAGCAAAGCAGGTGATCTCTGCGGAGTAACTTCAGCACAAAGGAGCCGTGGCTGAGGGAGTGGTGATGGTAGTCACTATCCAGTGTTTATTGAGAGCTGATTTTGCATCAGGCACTGTTTTAAACATGCTCTGTGGGCTATCTTACTTCTTCTCTTAATAACCCAATGTGGCACTTATTATTATCTTGGATTCAAAGGGGAGAAGACTGAGACACAGAAGGACTAAGTCACTTTCTCAATATCACACAGCTAGATGGCAGATAGCAGTGGAGCTGAGATTTGAACCCAAGTAGTCGGAGCCCAGAGCACACACTTTTAATCATCACGTTATCCTAGGAGAGGTCAGCTATGAGGCGAGTCTTGCAAATAGGATATGGCATAAATGGGAAAAAAGATGGACATAATTTCTTCTGAAAATCAGGCATCTTTAAAGGCCAGTGATGGTTAACTTCTCCAGAAAATGTTCCCAGACCACATCTGCCCCAATGAACCTACGTTTCCTGGATTCTTTTGCTTGGTAGTGCCATCATAACTCTCGCACCTGTGGGTAGGATTAATCTCTGTTTATAGGTCTCAAATGTCCTAGAGGGTGGAAGCTCTGTCAATGACTTCCCTGAAAGCTCTGAGCACAATGTCAAGGGATGTCAGAAATTCCATCACTATTTAACAGATGGACAATGGGTCACAGCAGTGTCTGCTCAGCTGGAGAGGAAAGATGCTACTGAACAATAGGGAGACGAGATTGGGGCAGTAGGCAGGAGCCCAGAAAGCCAGCGACTGTAGCTTTTATATTCTGTGACTAGCTCTGTAAAATGGTACAACTATGGAAAACAGTTTGTTTTAACTTTTTGTTAAAAAGTTAAGCATACAGCTCTCATATGCTCCAGCCATCCCCCTTCTAGGTATTTATCTGAGAGAACTGGATCCCTGTGTTAAAACAACTCCCTCTTCATAAATTATCGTAGCAGTTTTATTTGTAGTAGGTTAAAAGAAAACTGGAAGTAACCAGAAGCTTCATGAGCAAGCAAACAAATAAATCAATTGTATATCCATACAATGGGATACTTCTCAGAAATGAAAAAACAACAGCAATAAAACTATTGATACACACTGGAAGATAAATAAATCTCAAAATAGTTATGCTGAGTTAAAGAAGTCAGATATAAATGAGTACATAACGTATGATTCATTCATATAAAATTCTGGGAAATACACACTTATCCATAGGGGCAGAATGCAGAAATCCTAGGCTGCCTGGGATTTGTGGGAGGGAAAGGAGTTGCAGGAAATAATCACAAAGGAGTCAAAATAAATTTTGGTGATGATTATCTTGATTCATGGTTGCCTGGATATGTAACGTAAGTCACAATTGACTAAGCTGTGTACTTTGCATACTTGCAGTTTACTGTATGCCCATGTAACTCAAAGTAGCTGGAGGAAAGCAATGATTCTGGGAGTAGCCCAGAGCAGCAGTCCCCATTCATTTTGGCACCAGGGACCAGTTTCGTCGAAGACAATTTTTCCATGGGCCTGGAGGTGGGGGGAATGGTTTTGGGAAGATTCCAGTGCATTACATTTATTTTGATTATTATACTGTAATATAATGAAATAATCTATAACTCACCATAATGTAGAATCACTGGGAGCCCTGAGCTTGTTTTCCTGCAGCTAAATGGTCCCTTGGCATGATGGGAGACAGTGACAGATCATCAGATGTTAGATTCTCATAAGGTGTGCACAAGCTAGATCCCTAGCATGCACAGTTCACAATAGGATTTGCACTCCTATGAGAATCTAATGCCTGCTGATCTGACAGGAGGTGGAGCTCAGGTGGTGATGAGAGTGAAGGAGAGTGGGCTGTAAATACAGATGAAGCTCCACCCACTTGCCTGGCACTCACCTCCTGCTGTGTGGTCCTGTCCCTGACAGGCCACAGACTGGTACCCTGGGGAGCCTTGTAGGGAGGTTTGGGGGCCCCTGAACTAGAACGTGGATCAGCAAGGCTCAAAAGTGGCTACAAGGACACACTTTTGAAAAGCCATGTAGTGTGAAAGTGGCAGAGATAGCTTAGACAAGAACGGAGGGAGTGGGCCAACTTGAGAGGCATTTGGAAGGCAGAATCAACAGGAGAAATCAAGGATGACTCTAAGCGTTTTGGCTCAGGTATCCGGGTGGATGGGCTGCCATTTAGGGAGAGATTGGAGAGAAGTAGGTTGAGGGAGTGGGGACGTAATGAGCTTATTTCTTGGGGTGCTGAACTGAGGAGACTATGGAACACCCAAAAATAAGTTATTTGATACCATACTAAAAAAATAGTTTGAGACAAGGGATCACATATTTTGCTTTATGCCTATATATTATGTCCAGTGAAATAATAAACCTGTAGTGAGTTCTTAAAAATTTCTCCATAAACGGGTAAGAAGCTGGGAGGTGTGGTTCTGATCCTGATCCTTTCTTACCCGCTATAACTCATGAGTCTTCTTGGTTTTATCTGTTGCCTGTTTTATTCTAAATATAGGTATAGATACAGATACAGATATCCCTTTTTTGGGGTGTGATTTCTCTGAAAAAAATTTTTTTGGTAGAGATGTGGGTCTTTCTATGTTGCCCAGGCTGGTTTCAAACTCCTGACCGCAAGTAATCCTCCCACCTCAGCCTCCCAAAGTGTTGAGATTACAAGCATCAGCTATCATGCTTAGACTGAAGTCCATCTTCGACTGCTCAAAAAATGCGACTAATTCTGGAGATAGGCCTGTCCGAAATATGACCTCTTCCCTGTACCAGAAATAAGAATACTGGCAACATTTGAGAAGGAAAAGCAAGCAGGCTGGAGGAACACCACCTGGGATGCATTTTCCAGCATGTTGCCATGTGCTGGAATGAGAACTTGCTGGTAGGGAATCTTAGAGAATCTGCATATTTAAAAGCT